GCCTTCATACACTACGTCGTGCTTATCGCACAGTGTTCTATTTATTTATAGGAATACCACTGTGATTCCACTTTGCCCTGTGTTAGATTTTATGATGGATTTTGTTCCATATTGATAATTAATGTGCCTTGTGTTTTAATATATATAATTGCTCTCTCCTATTATCTTTCATTATGTACAATGATTTACTAAAATTGCCCTATCGCCTTATTATTTATAATAATGGGAATTTTGCCTTTTTTGTGCTGTGATGTATTGAATGAGGTTTCCACTCTTAAGATTATGGGGGGCGTGGTCGGGGGGGTCTGGGTCGCGACGGAAGCTTTTCCCGCTGCTATGGCGGGGTGGTTGTTAAGTCTGATAAGCGATATTAGTTGAAATGAATAGAGTGGGATAAGTGATAAGGGGGAGAGTAGCACATTAAGATAAAGAATAGATTAATATAGTACTTGCATGCTTTCTCTGCTTTCAGGACTGTGCCATACACGCTCTACGATCTATGCCTATTCTAGCTTGAGATACAACTGGAGACAGCTCAATGCATCGAAATTTCTTCCGATCTCTCATTTCGAGCTCAGAAAGTATCATTTTCTAGTCTTGGAGAAAATATCTGCGGTGGGTGTAACTTTCATGTCGGGTCTCAAGGATGGATAAAACAAGCTTGGGAGATAATCTACAAGTAAGACTAGCAGAGACACGGGGACCAAGAGGTGGAGTGTAACTATTGATAGCTATCCTTTGGCAGATCTACCAGTGTGTGTCCCGTGCGACTTATTGCCGTCTTATATACAATGTGCTGGTTAGGAACATCGCATGGATCTTCCTTTAAGAACCCGCTGGGATTTGATGGCTCAGCAGCATTCGGCCGCCGGATGTGCGGGTTGAGACTCTGTTCGATCCTGGGGCTCGCCAGTCTCCACCAACAGAAGAATAACATCAATTTCTGTGGGGCCCTTCCCGCCTCCCTCCCCTCTTCCAACTTAAATTGTTATCTTTGCAATGCCGGGTGAAGAGCATCGGCGAAATCTGGCGGCCGGTTCTTCCGGTCGGACCTTCGTTCGCGCGAGCGCGCGGAATAGGTAGAGCGGAGTCGCATGCGCCTCGCTGGGCCACTGATTCGGAGGAGATAAATGATATGGGGAACTAGGAGAGCATCATATATTGTAGCTACATACTGCTTGGGTGCAGGATGGTATATCATTTTGCTCACGTGCCTGGCCTTGGCTACTTTCGACACCTGCTTCGCAAATTTCGACAGCACAGGAGTGAGGCGATAGTGTGTGCGCTCACATCCGCGAGCAGAGACACAGCCTCATACCAAGGTGAGATTCTCGTGGAGTTCTGTCTGCGGATCATCCTTTCGCCACTCATAGTATACGTTCGACCGTTGGCATGCAGCGAGTGATGGCCTGTGCGCTTCGGTTGCAATTGCTTGTAAACATATAGACAGGCAATTGGTATGTTCCAGAATATCACGGGAAGACAACATGAATATGGGCATCGGAAGCTAAGTGAGAATTTAATGTCTGAGTGAGCACAGAGCCTATGGTTATTAGTTGTTACTGTTGGTGCAATTTCTACTGTTACTCTTTTTTTGAGCCTGGTTTCGGGTCGTCTACGAGTTGGTCATGCAGGCTGTCATTTGGGTTTCTGGTCCTTGCACTGTATCAATGTTTGACATATAGGACGGACAGAGGGAAAATGAACCATCAGATATTTGGTCAGAATAATAGGTATTATAAAGCATTCATTATATATTACATGCATCACACAAGTATATCCACCACCATATATTTATTGTTATTACAACGTTTTATGCACATATTGCTTGTAGGTTGTTGCTGCTAAGGTATTAGTTAGGAAACTTACTGATTATCAGTTATTAAAGCATTGATAAACACAAGATTCTAATTATCGTAACTGCACTGTTGAAATCGGACGCTCCAAGCCGCGATTGAATTTCTTGGTGTGGTGCTAAAACTGATTGTCTGACCATTATTCGTGTTCTGGATTCCCCTTATTGATTTATGGCATGTTTATTAATATTCTGTATCCCTAAGGGTTACTATACTATTGCTTTCCCACTCTATTATTACGGAAGTCTGCCATCCAGTCTCATCTTTATCGCCATATATTATACGCTGTCGAGATATTGTGCAGACCAGCACGGGTCCGGAACGAGACGGAATTCCCTGTTGGATGATTCTCTTCACGATTGATTTTTCCTTGGAGCAGATTTTAGCATGAGATTGCTCTGACAATGCTGTTTCTGATCATTTGTCCACTTGCGTAGTGGCGAGGGTTCTTAATAACGCTGCCCGTGGAATCTTGGTTACGCGGTCAGTTCGTATTCCTGTTCATTGCTATACAGTACACATAGTGAAGTGCGCTACAAGAAAGATGCGCTTTTACTTTGTAATTCTTTTCACAAAGATAAATAAACGAGAAAAGGTAACAATTCATACATATCTCCGGCTGTCTAGGAATGAAATGAATGGAGTTGTTAGTTTGTACATGTGCCAAATGACCAGCTGATATTAGTACTAAACCAGACCCACTGATATCACGAAAGGAGGCTGAGTGGTCATGCTTCATGCCAGTTACAGAGAGCCATGCCTGTGGCCATTTACAGAGAGCCATATCTTTGGCCATTTACAAAGAGCCATGCCTGTGGCCATTTACAAAGAGCCATGCCTGTGGCCATTTACAAAGAGTCATGCCTGTGGCCATTTACAGAAAGCAATGCCTGTGGCCATTTGCCGGGAGCCTTGATTGCAGTCACGTACGGGAAGCTATATTTGAAGTCATAGTTAGAAGTATCCAAGCCACGTACCATCTATGAATAGCACCAGCAAAATGCCTTCCGTCTTGATTTTGGTTTTATTTAAGGCACCCTTGATGCTTGAGATTATTTGGCAGTCTTTATCATCTAACAGGTTTATTTATTTATCCTTTTATTTTTTGGTTCATTTATTAATCTAATATGCTTCTAATGTGGCCTTTACTTTATAATAGTCTTAATTCCTTTCACTCCTTAGAATATCTTCTCCCAAATCATTCCTCTGTGGCGTTTTTACTATTACGATATTAGTAATAATGATGGTAAAGACGATGAAAAAAAGGATAATAGAAATAGCAATAGTAAATAATACTGCTGATAATATGGATAGTATCAATAATGATAATAATTATTACAATAACATGGTAAAACTCATTAAAAAATAATGAAAATGGTGATATCTAGGTCCTTCAATGTGTCCCTTAATATTATCTTTAAATTCGAAAGTCTTCCTTAAGATTGCCTCACTAATCAAGTTCTTTGCGTTCACATAATAAGATAAGAATGGTAGAATTTTACGAGGTCGCTGCTACCGCCGATTCCTGATACCCGTGCGAGTCAAGAGGCTTAACCATGCGTGGATTTGGCTTACCTCCATCTGCCACTGCATTCGGTTCGGCTCCCTTGCCTATCTATATATTATAATATTATATATCTATTATATTGCCTATATATTACGTATCATAAAATACACTCGTTCTTAATCTGAATAAAACATTATTTCTCACATTATTATGATTATACATGCATACACATATATGTGTGTGTGTGCACACATGTGTTTGTGTGTGTGTGCATATATATATATATATATATATATATATATATATATATATATATATATGTGTGTGTGTGTGTGTGTGTGTGTGTGTGTGTGTGTGTGTGTGTGTGTGTGTGTATAAATGTATATATATTTATACATATATATACGTGTGCGCGTATTTGCATGCGCATGTTGCCATGTCACCTCTGAATAAATCTGAAAACTCGGGTAAATGATAATAGTCACCAAACGTTATCTTGAAATTTCTTGATTTTTCATACCTATTTATGTGTACAAAAGGAATAATAATAAAATTAATGAGAGACAGAAAGAGAGTCGAAATCAGTGATATGACAACGTGGAGCAGAGAACTTTATGAGCCTGTCATAACGCCCATCATAAACAGGAAATGAATTGAAACGTGCGCGAGGGAGATGGCTGCTGTCATTCATTTTCCACTTACTACTGTTAACTTTATAACCATTGCTATAGTTACTGATACTATTGTCGTCATTATTCATCCCTTGCCGATCAACATCTCCATCGCCTTGTGACCTTTTCCAGCAGCCAAGTGAAGTGTGCAGCAAGAAGATGCGCTTTACTTTTTTTTTTTTTTATTCTTTTTCCCGATGATAAATAAAAGAGAAAAGGAGAACATACGTATGTACGGCTAGCTAGGAATGAAAGGAATGAAGTGAATGGAGTTGTTAGATGCACAAGTGCCGAATGACCAGCTGAAATTAGTACCTATCCAGACCCACTGATATCCCGAAAGGATGCTGAGTGTACTATTACAAGGGGTCATGCTTCAGGTCATTTACCGAGAGCCATTTCTGTGGCCATTTACAGAGAGTCATGCTTGAAGCCATGTACGGGGAGTCATACTTGTGATACATGTATTCAAGCCACGTACCATCTGTGAATAGCACCAGCAAAATGCCTTCCGTCTTGATTTTAATTTTATAGAAATACCCTTAGCATTCTTTATCATCTAACAGTCTTATTTATTTATCTTTTTATTTATTTATTCATTTATGTATCTAATTTGCTTTTAATATGGATTTTGCTTTATAATAGTCTTAATTCCTTTCACTCCTTAGAATATCTTCTCCCAAATCTTTCCTCTATGGCGTTTTTACTATAACGATATTAGTAATAATAATGATAATGATAAGAAAAGATAGAAATGAAAAAATATATATATAGAAATAACAATAGTAATAATACTGATGATAATATGTTTGATATCAATAATGATAATATTTATTACAATAACATGGTAATTCATGCAAGTAAAACTGATTAAATAATCATGGAAATGGTGATATCTAAGTCCTTTAATATGTCCCTGAATTTTTATATATAAAATCGAAATTGTCTTCCTTAAGATTGCCTCACCATCCTCGTCCTTTGCGTTCACATCGGCGCCCTTGACGATGAGCTCCTCGGCCGCCGCCTCGTGACCTTCTTGGGCTGCGAAGTGTAACGGAGTAGACCCTGAAAGGAGAAGATAATGATCATGGAATAGAGCCACATATATGTATATGTATATATGTGTATGTGTCTGGGATCTGCACTGACGAATTACAAACGGAGCGATTTCAAGGACGGAACAGCTTACAAACTTGCTACGGACTCTGACTCGATTGCCTGAGATTATGGCCGTGCACTCGTGCAATTGCATAAGACAGGCACGTGAGTCAAAGGAGAACAGAGATGAGAGATAGAAATAAAGAAAGGAGCCAGTAATTTCATATTAGATTTCATATTTCGTTTCTTAAATACCACTTTCTTGTTTTTCCTCCTTAATCTATTACAAAAAAAAAAAATGTTTCTCATATGTATGATTATAATAACACACACACACACACATCCAGTCAAACACACACACAACATATGTGTCTGTGATGTGTGCGCGCGCGCCCGTGTGTTTGTATGCTGCCCTAATGCCAACTCTGGATGAATCTGGAAATTCGGGTAGATTAAAACGGCCACCAAACGATATTTGAAATTTTAACTGGAATTCCTTGAAGCGGGAAAAATGATGACATTCATTTTCATTCACATGGATCTGTCACCCCCGAAATGATGGCGAGTTTTTCATGTATACAAATCTATATATATATATATATATATATATATATATATATATATATATATATATATATATATATATATATATATATATATATATATATATATATATATATATATATATGAATGAGAGAGACAGAAAGGTAGCAAGTATAAAATAAAATTACACATGATAACGCGGAACAGATGACATTCTAAGCCTGGCGTAACCCCGGTGATAGCACAATAGGAGCATATCATTGGGAACATTAAATCCCCTCTGCATTTCTACCATTATTCATGTCTGATTACCATCATTTCCTTTACTGATTTCTGTCATTACTGATACTATTTTGTCTTCATTATTGTGGAGTCTCCTTCATTTTCTCTTCTGACTACTGAATGAACAACAAACTACGGAAGAATGGGAGGAAGTTCTTGAATTCTCAAGGAATTGCCCAGAGTGTCTCCTCCCTGATAAGAATGATAGAATTTTACGAGGTCGCTGCTACCGCCGATTCCTGATACCTTTGCGAGTCGAGTCTTAATCATGCCTGGATTTGGCTTACCTCCATTTCCCTTTGCATTCGGTTCGGCTCCCTTGCCTATCAACATCTCCACCATCGCCGTGTGACCATTAAAAGCAGCCAAGTGAAGTGGTGTGTCACCTGAAACAGGAGGATGCGTTATATTTTTATTCCGTTTCCCGAAGGTAAATAAACGAGAAATGAAGATAATTCATATATACGAACGGTTGGTTAGGAATGAGACGAATGTAGTGGATCGAATGCCTAAAAAAAAGAGACACATTTCATTTTGCATTTTATATTTCGTATCATAAAACACGCTCGTTCTTAATCTCTATAAAACATTATTTCTCACATTATTATGATTATACATGCATACGCATATATGTGTGTGTGTGCACACATGTGTTTGTGTGTGTGCATATATATATATATATATATATATATATATATATAATATATATATATATATATATATATATATATATACATGTGTGTGTGTGTATAAATGTATATATATTTATACATATATATACGTGTGCGTATTTGCATGCGCATGTTGCCATGTCACCTCTGAATAAATCTAGAAACTTGGGTAGATGATAACGGTCACCAAACGTTATCTTGAAATTTCTTGATTTTTCATACCTTTTATGTGTACAAAAGGAATAATAATAAAATTAATGAGAGACAGAAAGAGAGTCGAAATCAGTGACATGACAACGTGGAGCAGAGAACTTTATGAGCCTGTCATAACGCCCATCATACTACAACAGGAAATGAGTTGAAACGTGCGCGAGGGAGATGGCTGCTGTCATTCATTTTCCACTTACTCCTGTTAACTTTTTAACCATTGCTATAGTTACTGATACTATTGTCGTCATTATTCATCCCTTGCCGATCAACATCACCATCGCCTTGTGACCTTTTCCAGCAGCCAAGTGAAGTGTGCAGCAAGAAGATGCGCTTTACTTTTTTTTATTCCTTTTCCCGATGATAAATAAAAGAGAAAAGGAGAACATACATATGTACGGCTAGCTAGGAATGAAAGGAATGAAGTGAATGGAGTTGTTAGATGCACAAGTGCCGAATGACCAGCTGAAATTAGTACCTATCCAGACCCACTGATATCCCGAAAGGAGGCTGAGTACTATTACAAGGGGTCATGCTTCAGGTCATTTACCGAGAGCCATTTCTGTGGCCATTTACAGAGAGTCATGCTTGAAGCCATGTACGGGGAGTCATACTTGTGATACATGTATTCAAGCCACGTACCATCTATGAATAGCACCAGCAAAATGCCTTCCGTCTTGATTTTAATTTTATAGAAATACCCTTAGCATTCTTTATCATCTAACAGTCTTATTTATATCGGAAGAATGGGAGGAAGTTCTTGAATTCTCAAAGAATTGCCCAGAATAGTCCCTCCCTGATAAGAATGATAGAATTTTACCGAGGTCCTGCTACCGCCGATTCCTGATACCTTACGAAGTCGAGTCTTAATCCGCCTGGATTTGGCTACCTCCATTTTCCCTTTGCATTCGGTTCGGCTCCTTGCCTATCAACATCTCCACCATCGCCCTGTGACCATTAAAAGCAGCGAGTGAAGAGGTGTGCCACCTGACAACAGGAGGATGCGTTTATATTTTATCCGTTTCCCGAAGGTAAAATAAACGAGAAATGAAGATATTGCATATATACGAACGGTTTTTTGGAATGGAACGAAATGTAGTGGACGAAATGCCTAAAAGACACATTTCATTTTGCATTTTATATTTCGTATCATCAAACACACTCGTTCTTAATCTGTATAAAACATTATTTCTCACATTATTATGATTATACATGCATACACATATATGTGTGTGTGTGCACACATGTGTTTGTGTGTGCATATATAATATATTATATGTATTTATATTATATTTAATATATAATAATTATATGAGAATATATATATATATATATATTATAATAGCTATATAGATATTTGTGTGTAGTGGTATAAATGTATATTATTGTATACATATATATACATACGTGTGCGTATTTGCATG